ATTGCCCATAATATTGACCCAACTAAAGTTAACTTCCAAAAGAAGCATCTATACATAGGAAAACTCAAAATGAATCAGCCCTTGTTTGATTCTCATTCTTCGGAGAAAATGAATTCTTCAACAGTGTTTTGACATAATTTTAATCACACATTTTTCAATAAAACAATATTACACGTAAATTCAAAATTTTTCCTTATTTTTTAACCACACATTTCATATCAATACACTATTCAAAAATTTATTTTTCCATCAAAATGGGGCTCAAACAAGAGCGCAGATTCCGATTACAATTTGAGAATCTGAGCTCAAGCCCTGAGACCCATTGAACAACATAGACAGCTGTCATGAAGAACAAAGGCAGAACATATAGAAGAGAAGCTGCAATTAGCGTACTTTTGCTTTTGTCAAATAATAGCCATCAAATAGGAGCTAAATATATTCACATTGCAATTTTTAATAACTAGACTATATTTTAATTGCATGACAGACTCATGATTTTTACACATTATTACATTTACATTTCAAACTTTTTTCAACGTACTCTTATTCTTAAATTAATATAAATTGTTCTTGGTTATGATTTCCCTCTAAAATTTTCTTGGTGATAGAGTAAAAAATAAATAAAAAATCATTTGCCCATTATAGTTTTGAATAAACAAAACAAATAATTTGATCATCATTTTAAATCACGCTAACAATATTTTTAGACAAAATTTATGAATAAGAACAAAATTGTCTGATTAATGAAATGTTAAACATAAGAATGTGATGAAGAAAAAAAAAGTTATGAATATAAATGTGATAATAAATAAAAGTATGAAGTGAATTAAAATGTTATGTATTTATAAAAAATGGAAATTACATTTACACCACAATTTTTATTTATTGCACCACATTTTAATTACACATAAAATTCTCATTCTTTAATCATTATAGCATTTATGCCCCTAACAAATTTTCACGACATTTTTACACTCAATCTTTTCAATTTTCATCAGTTAGCACATTTTGTAATTGATAACAGTTTAAATTCAAAAAGTTCTTGAAATAGCGTTCAAACAATTTTTTTCATCATATTGTAAAAATAAATAATAAAAGTACAAAAAAAATAATTTTCCCAATTTTATAGCATGAAAACAAAATATTTTAACTTAAGTCATGAAAGACGAGAGATGTACTAATTATTGGAATGTTGAAAATAAGAAATCGACAAAAAAAATTAAAAAATAATTGTTAGGACGAGCAATTATTGAAGAATTTAATAATAATTAAATTGTGGTGTAACAAATAAAAATTCCAGTTGCAATATAAATCCTTAAAAAATTTGTGATCCATCCAAGAATTGGCATATTTATAGGGTTTTCCTTATTTACCCTTGAAACTCAAATTCCGCCGTCAAATGTTTTACGTCATGCAGATTCCACACTCCACATCGAAGCTTAGCTGGTGATACGCAATCCCAGCTCACCCCACCCCTACCCTACCCTATTATACATATAGCCTCGCGGCTCGCTTTATATTCTTCCTAAATTTTTTCAGACGTAATTTTTTTTCCTGTAAATTTTCGCATTTTGGCTACACCTACACCCA